TGGTACGATTGGTGAATTTGGAGTTATCGTGTCTAACGAAAGTTCATGGAGAACAGACCAGAGATTTCTGCCTCTTGGAAAACATTAATCCCCTGTATTGTCGCTTACTTTCACTATGAATACAGGGAATCGGTTATTGAAAAAGAATTTAGAGTATTAACCGTTTTTTGCTATTTATACTGATTTTATTCTGATATGTCAACGGAACCATGTTTTTCCGGTTAAATTTCAAAGAAAAAGTTGTGTTATTATTGAGTGTGCCAGCTCAGTATTCGCAATTTAGACACTCGATTAAAAATTGGTGGTTAGACATTTTAGAAATAACGAATACTGTGAACAGCGGGCCAAACCCGGAAATGATAATGCAAAAAAATAATTTCTTTCGAGTTATGCCGTTGTTGCAGTAACATATAGATGGTTTCGCCAGGCTTGTGTCTTAACCCTCCTGCGTTCGCACAATCATTTCGAACAATTATATTTGCGCTGGACCTTTAAGCTGACAATACATTTTCGTGATCTCTGAGTGAATATTAAAGAATTTCTCAATGAATATTTAAGAAGTTCTCTCACAAATTAGTTGGCTGAAAAACAATGTTCATTTTGAAGTAGGATAGTGGAATAATTGTAACGATTTTATCTATCCATAACAAATTGGAAAACAAAATATTTATGCTAGATCAAGCAAAAATTACAAATTACTATTATTTTTTTTCTATATACAAACAAGTTTACCTTTGTTATGTGAAATATTGTTATGTAAAATATATTATTAAATTTATCATAAAAATAGTTTTAATTTATAAATTTAAAAAGAAAAATGCTTTAATAGTTTTCTAAATGTTATGGTTAACATGTTTTTCTTCCAATTTTCTTAAACATACATCTCTCTATATTGGACAATTTTTGATTCCCCGTGAGTGTCCGCTTCTTGTGAAGAGAAGTTTCATTATAGTAATTAAAACGGGTTAGTATTTTTAGTATTTTTTCTTCATAAAAAACGTTCTTTGTTTTGTTTTCTTATCTTGCTCCAGTTCTGGGAAATGATTATTTTTTAGGGGCGGGGTGGCCGAGCGGACGAACGAGTGTGGACACCACTGCGCGTTACCCGGCTACCTGCTAACCGAAGTTGGAGACAATAAAATAATTATGAGTTCTTTTGACTCAGTCGTTAATCCCCCGACCTCACCCCCTGGCCCGCGAAAACCCCCGTGTAACCTAAATGGCGAGGTAGGGAAGAACAAAAAAAAGATTAATTTTTTATTATTATTTGGAAAGTTATACTCAAATATACAATTCCACAAGAAAAACCAACGCTGTTTAGAATAGATGATTAAAAAGTTTAAGCACCATACTGTACCTAAAATAGTCTCAGTTTGACTTAACTGCAAGACCTGCAATACTTGCAGAGTCTGGTCTTGGTCTTGCGCAAGACTTCAGGGTCTAGTCTTGGTCTTGGTTTTGCAAAAAAATTTGTGATCTTGGTCTTGGTCTTGCAAAAGTACAAGACCAAGACCAAGACCGCAAGACCGAGACCAATTTTGGACAACACTACTTATGATACGAGATTTTACCGGAAGATGCTAGAGCGTTATTCTGCTTTGATCAACCGAAAAGGAATTTTATTCCAACAATATAATGCTCGTCCTCACACTTTCCTTCAAACCAAAGAAAAGTTTAAAGAACTTCATGGGTTCGAATTCCCAGCCTCATCGACCATATAGTCCAGACCTCGCACCATTGGATTACTACTTATTTAGATCCATGGCCCATTTTATTCAAGGGAAAAAAATTGATAATTTTGCGAGAATTGAAATTGCGGTACAAGAGTTCTTTGACAGTCATTCCAAACAATGGTACCAGCATGGAATCGAGCAATTGGCTAGCTGATGGTTAATAACGTAGATAACAATGTACTATACTTTGAGTATTAATTGTATTTTATATCAAAGAAATAATAATACAAATATTTTGTTGAAAAATGGAAATTTTTTATACACTCTATTAAACTATCAACCGTGGCAAGACAAAAGAGAAACTTTTTCTCGATGCAACATGAATACACCAAAAGATATCTTCCATTTTATATCGGTGTGCCCACAATTAAACCAATTTACGACAGCAATTTTTGGCTGCTAAATTTGTGTGAAACTATGAAAATTCTAAATGGCACAAAACATAGAAATATTTATTTTTATTTAACTTACTACAGATATATAACAGTTTAATTTAGGATAAAATAGATTTATGTGAATGTTCATTTATTCATGTGGTGTGTGCCTGAGTGTCAATATAAGTATAATTGAGATTATCACTTTTGCTTCCTCACTACCGAAGGTAGTGAAGCATTGTGTTCGTGCGAGAGATTAAATTTTTTTTTTTTGCTCAGAATCGAAAATTTTCACTCGCGTTTTACGTTTTAGACATCAAGGATCAAATTTGGTTCGGTGTCTGTCTGTCTGTAGTCAAATCGATGTGACGGGCATATCACCTAGTACCGTTCATCCTATCTTCATGAAATTTTTAGGGATTATGCTGATTGGTGCCTAGATGGTCCCATATCAATTTTATCAAATTCCATTCAGCACTTCCGCTTACGCCGCGCAAACGTATGTTTTTAGATATGCCAATATTTCAGAAAGGGCTCGTTCGATTTGGCTCAAAGTTAGATAAAAGGTAGACTTTGGTGAAAAAAAAAAAAACGTAGTGTCAATTTTATTGAATTCTGTCCACCACTTTCTCTTATATATGCACTAATAGTCCGCTGTCCGCCGTCCGCGCATTTTTTCCGAAATTACCGGACCTATTTTCTTCGAATTTGGATATAAAATCAGAGGTCCCAGAGGATGATCCTCCTTCAACGACATTACTATTCGCCTTCTTGTTTCAAAATTAGTAGTAAATTAGTAATAGTAAATTAGTAAAGGTGTTTATTATACTGGGGTACAAAAAACACTGCTGCTTCTTATGTATGTGGGACAGTAGAGATAAGAAATTACATTACATTAAAGGAGACTGGCCGGCAAGAAATCTTAACCCTAGCGAGAAAAATGTCGTTGCCTCTCGTGGACCCAAAACATATTTTCCTTCCATCCCTACATATCAAGCTGGGTTTGAATAAATATTTTGTCAAAGGTATGATATCTAAGAAGGTATGAGAACTAAGAAAGAAGGGCCTTTAAGTACAGTACTTCCTTGCTACCTTTCTATACCACGCCTTTATATAAATACCACGCCTTTATATTAGAAGTTGGCTACCCTCTTATATTCTTAAGGGGACCCTACACGGCCAATCGGAATTGCACTATAACGTTCCGAATTGTGTAAGGTAGTGAATGAAGTACTGATGGTGGTGCGCAGCGGATTTCCGAACATCCGGAAATCAAAGGTTCATTCACGAGAAGTGGAGGGGAGGCCGACTAAACATATGGGCTGGAGAGACCAACCATACTGCTGGATAGGGTAGGTTACCTAGGCCTCACAACCATTATAGATTTCTGATTTTCATTATATGTAAATAGTTAAATAATTTTTCATATCCCTTGTTTATAATTTTAAACCATCTTCAACTATTTCTTTTAAATAGTCAAGTGGGCAACAAATTAAAAAAAAAAAAGAGGAAGCTTCACAATTTACTTTAGGAAAAAAAAAAATTTATCGTTGTGTATATTTATCAGTTCTTTTCCCATTTTCCTCAACAAATTTATTATTTTCGCAATACCTTTCCTTAATTTTTGTAAGTAGTAGACTTATATTTTACTAACTTTTGTCAAAACGATTTTCTATGAGACTAACCTTCTATGAGACTACTACTAGATAGGTTAGTTTTCCTAGGTCTCGTTATTAAGTAAATAGTTGTTTATATCCCTAGTCTATATTATCATTAACCATTTTCAACTTTTTTTTTTTTTAAGTAGTCAAGTAGGCAATAAATTGAGGAGAAAAAGTGGAAACTTCACAATTTACTTATAGAAAAAAAATCTTTAACTGTTGTGTTTATTTGCCATTAATTTTTCCATTTTTCTTAACAAATTGATTATTTTCGCAATACTTCTCCTAGATTTTTGTATGTAGTTGACTTATATTTTACTAACTTTGATCTAAACGATTTTCAGGCACTAGGAAGTAATTATTAAATCTCCGTTTTTCTCTTGATGCCCAATATTATAAATGACAATGTCCAAATAAGCATATCTATGCTGTTTCTTTGTTTACAACTGAGCTAAATTGGTATCAGCAACGATAAGTAATGATCAGTAATGATTGAACGTGTAAGGGTCTTCATGATCAAAGCGATCGCGGGCAATCTTGGAACTTTTTTTCCGTTCATTCATGAATTACCGTGTAGGGTCTGCTTTAAGAGCCTACAATTCAAATCCTCCATTCGATCCCGTGCCTATATCCTCCTCCTCGCCGAACTGATGTGCTTGCGGATTACTGTTGGCCTTAGTGTAGGGATGCTTCGGAATTCATTCACAAAAGGTAAGCTAAAAGACGACGATATCGTGAAGCCTCCACATAATCTCTTCAGACACGACCATCTTGAGTGGTATTCTTCCAGCAATTTACTACTCTTAGAATTATTTTGAAAAATCAAATTCACTTTCAATGTTGTTAGCATATATAATTAAAATGTATATTTTTCTCTTAACCTGTTAATATGAAATAATTCCATCTAGTCTATATCACAGAAACTAGAGCTAAGAAACATTTGTCTTTGTCATATTCGTTTTTCTCAAGACAAAATTAGAAATAATTTACTCATGAAGTGCTGGAAACATCAAATTTGTTTTTTGTTGCCCAGTGTAATTTATTTTTCTAGCTAACCTTTGATTTTTCAAGTTTTTGTACTTTTAAAAATGTTTGCGAAACCATTCAAACACATACACGCATAATTTTGGTATCATCAATACGTTCAGTTTATTGTATTTTTTCTAAATGCAGGTGGATCAATAAACTTTGATTTTATGATGCCCTCAGGTTTTATAATTGACTTCATCTCGATGCCCGTGATCTCCGGATATACTTCCGCTGCCGCTCTGATTGTGGCCACTTCCCAGATCAAAGGACTCTTGGGCTTAAAGTTCGATGCCGACAGCTTCGTCGATACGGTCACGAAGGTCATCGCACACGCCGGGGAGGCTAAAGTCTACGACAGTGCACTAGGAATTTCCTGCTTAATATTTCTCATCGGAATAAAGGTGATCCAACTATGGATTTTATTTATTCATTTATTATTGCAGGTAACCATCAAGATTTGTCATCATATCCTGTCTTGTCAAAATGCAGTTTTAAAGAAATGTTTGTACTTGTACTCATAAAATATTTCTTTCATTCGTCTACTTTACGAAATTCTACATTGTTTATTTGTAAAACACATTTTAATCTTCTTGATTTTTCTGTATTTACGTTTTCAGAAATGTTGCCTCTTCCTCCAGTGCTAATTCATATTCTCTCTCTTTGCTGTATTTCTTTCATCTGAACAGTATCTGTCGTGGGTATTCTGAGGCTTTACAGAGTTTTCAATTGCCGCCCTTTTCATAATGTTGAGGTATTTCTTCGATCGCCCGTGATTAGCCCGCTGTCTTACAATTTGTACTGTATTTTTTTCTCCTGAGTCGCCGATTCAGAGCACGATTCTTGATTTCCTCTTGCCCTCTTATTAATCAAATAATACTTCTGAATTAATGTTTGTCTGTAACACTTTGTAACAAATGTTTTTCTGCTTCACACAGTTCTTATTTAGAGCAAGAAAAGCTTTCTTATATTTACCTAGAATTAGGTAGTAGTTCGTTAAATTACTTGAACTTCATTTTTTAAATAATTATTTCTGAAATTAATTAATTTAGGATTAATGGAATAATTATAATTTTCTGATATATTATGATTTTTTGATAAAATAATTTCTTGTGAAACAATGATTCTTACAAATAAAACAGGGTTAGCAATTATATTCCTATAATACGCTATAAATTTACTTTTTGCTTGTATCTTCGATTCGTTTTCTATAATTTGATTTTCTTAGAGCTTTGTATTTATGGCTCTTCGATAGCACAAGGATTGGTAAAAACTGAGTGTTTTCGACCGAAATATTGATGTTGGCTTCACCACCATACTGTTTTTTTTTTTTGTTTTTTTTTTTGCGATCTGAGGAAGATTTATGGCTTTACATTTACAGCTGTTTATGATACTCAAATCATTGTAGAGGCTGAATATGCACGACAGCCCATTTCGCATTATATCACGCCTTCGTTTCGTTTGTTGGAATTAAGAAGATTTTGTTGACTTGGCTTGGCATGAGGAAATGTATGATGGCTGCCAGAGACGTTTGGAGGAAGTTGGTTGAGAAATTCATAAAATAATAATAAGGTGATTTTGAGCTTTGCATTCACTGAAGATTGATACCATTATTTCTCTCTGTCTCATTATTGCCCTATTTATTATTTGTTATTATTATTATTATTATAGTATTGACGCTAACTCTATTTTAGAGGGCACTCCTTAAAGACAAATAAACATAATTGTTTGTGCCCTCCGGAGGCTATCATAATATCCCAATGTTATGACATTGTATTTAATTAATAAATCTGTACATATATATATACATTTATTAATTAAATACATATATATTATTAGTATACATATTAATTAATTAATTTAGATACATATATATATATATATATGTATACATATAACAAATATAACATATGATATTTGTTCCAGCTTTTAAAAGAACACTACTTCAAAACAAACAAGTTATTTTTTTATATTTCTACAGCCAAAAATGCAATAGTCGTTTTATGCAGCACTGTTTGTTCCTACTTTTTTTTCCAAAAAGGAGAAAGACCATTCTCTTTGACAGGTGAAAAGAAATATGGTCTAAATATTACTTCCAATATCATTACCAGTGATAATTATATTTTAACATTCGATATTTTTATTTGCAGGTGACATTAGGGCAGGGTTGCCTGAAATTAAATTTCCTGGATTTTCCTATGTAAATACCGAAGGGAATAACATAAGTTTTATTAATGTATTAGAAGATCTAGGTGTTGGCCTAATATCTCTGACTGTCGTAGCTATATCTAGCCACATAGTCGTCGCTAAGATATTCAGTGAGTGTTCTTGTTTCATATCAAAACACAATAACACATTTAGATAATTGCGATTGTATAAAATGACTAATGGCTTGACTTTGAAGCAAGGGGGACTAGATTAAAGGCATCGCAAGAAATAATAGCTATGGGAGCTTCAAATCTTTTAGGAAGCTTCGTTGGTTCGATGCCAGTTTGCGCATCCTTTTCAAGAAGCGCAGTTAACAACACGAGCGACGTAAGAACCACCTTTGGAGGCGTTTATACAGGTGAACTATATTTAACGTCACTGCTCTTACAATTGTTATTTCAATTTTAATTTTGGTTGATGGGTTTGTTTGTAATGATGAAATAATAAATATAAGCATGCCCGTTCGAAGATTTTACCCGAACCATAGGTTTGTTTCAGATTTTAATTTATTATTCATTGAGGCTTACATTGTTTACATTCAGCAATACAAATATTTAATAAATCGAGCGTCGCCCACTTCTTCCCCCTTATTTCAAGGATTGACTTCACTACTGAATATAAAATACGAACACATAAATAATAGTTTTGAAAAAAGATATGCAGAATTAAGAACAACAAACCAAAAATATAGACCTTCATAAGATTGGACTTTACCTAATTTTTTCTTTGATGTATAATTTTAAAATCATGAATATTATACAGTATTGAACGTTTTAGATAATTATTAGTCCAGTACCGCAATAAAAAGTCAGTTTATTTTAAAGAAGATCCCTGGAAAAAACTCATTTGTAGTATTGGATCAATGTTTTTATTTTTATTATCCTGAGTGGATTTATTTGAAGTCAGTAGAGAACAGTGATCCTGACTTTAGGAGTAGAGAATATTCTTCCTTACATCACTAAAGTGATAAATTGTCATTCAACAGTCCATCTGAAATCATACCTTCACAGTATTTTATTAAATTCATTAGATTATAGTTTTATTTTGATTATTATAAATGTTTAGTCTGTGATACAGACCCATTTTTATCGAATTATTAACATCCGCCTGAGACTTCGTAAATAGTTTCATCTCATCGTAACCTTCAACTATTTCAATTACGAAAACTCTTGGAATTGGAGCGTTTTCAATCTGGAGGAGAACAAGCTTTGACCATTTAATTAGGTACTAAAAACTCATATCTGGTAAATACACATTACCAGACCATCTACGCATCGGCCTATACACAAATTTTGACCGGGGGCTGGGTGGCCGAATAGGTTAAAGCGTGTGCACAGCACCGCGAGTTGCCTGGCAACCGGAGAAGAAGATTTGAGATGATTTAAAAAGTACGAGTTCGCGTCCCGGTGCTGGAGGAGATTTTAAATTCCCCGCCCTCATCCTCCGGCCCGGGAAAATCCCGTATAGCCTATAAGGCGAGGTAGGGAAGAACAAAAAAAAAAAAAAAAAAAAAAAAAAAAAAAAAACCACAAATTTTGACCAAGATAGATAAACCTATATTTCAGCATAATGGCCATTTGTTTCTATAAGTCTAGTTCATTGCAACGTCGTATAGAAAATTCTCGTAATTGCTGAATGAAAGTTTCAATCAATCATAACGATATATCGGCCTGATGACTTCATCTTATCGTGATTAGTACAGTTAGACCATTCTTTAAAATTTATTTAAATTATTATTTGTTAACCTTCTCTCTCCACGATTTCAGCTAATACCGATATTCTAAACACCGATATATCGGCTTTACGATATAATTTTATCATAATTCATAGAATTTCACATAGAGTAAATATTATTTCTATTCCTAATAAATGTATGTATAAACATAAAATTGAGTGAAGAAAGATAAATCGGCCTCATAACTTGTTTTTTTTTTTTCATGGTCTACTCCTTCCGCATCTTTTAGATTACGTTTTCCCCGGTAAGAGGCAGAGGAAGGGCTTAAAAGTCTCCTCAGACACCAGGACGCGAACTCGTAATTATTTGTAAAAAATTCTCTCATATATCCGGTAGTCGGGCAACGGCGGTGTTAAGCCTCAAGACTTTATTTTAAAAAATAAAAAAATGACCAAACTCTACCAATCTCGAGTTTTTTTTTTTTTTTTTTTTACTTGTCTAGTTCTAAATATTTTTCGGTCCAACCCATGGACCAATACATCGGTCTTTAGACTGTATTTGATTATAATTCGTATAGTTTCACATGGAATATTATTTATACTGATAATAAATGAGCCAATCAATTGCCATGGAATCGATATAAACAACATCAATGTGAATAAAGACCGATATATCGGCCTTAAGATTTAATTTCATCGAATTTTTTAGAGTTTCATAATTTTTATTTTGTGCTTGTCTACTACTTAAACATTTCTCGGTCCATGCCATCCATAGACCGATATGTCGGCCTTTTGACATAATTTTATCACAATTCATAGAGTTTCACGTGGAATATTATTTACACTGATAATATATCGACCTTAAGGTTTAATTTTTATCGAGTTTAATAGAGTTTGATAAATTTTTAAATTTATCTTATTCAAAATGTTTAATTAATAGTGTTTCACGTGGAACCTTATTTATGCTAATAATAAATTGACCTATCAATCGCCATGGAATAAAGACCGATATATCGGCCTTAAAATTTAATTTTATTAAAATTAATAGTTTGATATATTTTTTTTAATTATGTGTTTATCTTCTTCCAAAGTTTTTTTGGTCCAATGATATAGTTAGAGAAAAATGTGGTAGTGGTGCAAAAAAAAAAAAAAGAATAATATAAAAAAGAATAAATTAAACTCAATTAATCTCGATAAAATATGGTTGGAAGGCCGTTGTATTGTTCTTTGGAGTATCGGTATCTGCTCAAATTAGTGGAGGAGAATGGCCAAAAAAAAATACATTAAAAAATAAAAAAAATTATCAAACCCTGCCAATCTCAATAAAATAAGGTTTTAAGGCTGATATATCGGTCTTTGATCATATTTACGTTTATTTTGGTCCCTTAACGATTTCTTGACACATTTATTAGTAATAAAAATAATATTCAATGTGAAATTCTCAAATTCTCGATAAAATAAGGTCGTAAGGCTGATATATCGGTTCAAGAGGAGGACAGAAAAAATTGGTAGTGGCGGACAAAAAAATAAAATAAATAAATAAATAAATCTGTCCTAATTTTGATAAAAAAAAAAGGTTGTGAGGCCGATATATTGGTCATTGGAATATCGCAATCTGCTCAAGTCAGGGTAAGGGAGGACACAAAAAAAAAAAAAAAAAAAAAAAAAAAAAAATCAAAGACTACCAATCTTAATAAAATAAGGCCACAAGGCCGTTATATCAGTCTTTACTTAAATACATGTTATTGTTGATCGCCTTACACATTTGTTAGCAATAAAAATAAAATTTAATGTGTAAGAGACACACACATATATATATATATATATATATATATACATATAAAATAAGTCTTTGGTATATCTCCTACACTCACGGAGGAGTTTGATCAAACAAATACATAAAAACAAATGATCGAACTCTAATAATATCGATTAAATAGGGTAAATAATAAATATATCGGTCTTTAGGACATCCGTACCTACTGATCTGGGGAGAGGGTAAGACAAAAAAAAAAGGCCGATATATCGGCATATCGGCCGATGCCGAGAATCGCCCAAACGGCTATTAATATTAATATCGGCATCGGTCGATCTCTAAAACAAACAGAGAGAAAACATAAACACAATAGTAATGTAAATAAACATAGGTTATAAATGTTTAAAGTTCAAAATGCTCGTGGACGAATAGATTCCGAAAGTAAACCAAACAACTCAGCGACCAATGCAATAAGGCTGGAAAATTTTCTAGGGCAAACTCGGTGAATCGACACTTTATTCACCGATTCAGTCGATTCACCAATTCATCGATTGTGTAACTGTCTAGATCAGGAGCCTTTTTGGAAACTTTTTAGCCCGCGGGCCCCATTGAGACCTACACTCAGTCCTAAAGGCCAACAACACAGCTTGTGATAAAAAAAATCTTGTTCTATAAAATACTCTTCAGTTGTAAATTGAGCTTTCTAAGAGAAAATCACTACGAAATAAATGCTGTAGTAACCTCTAGTATGAATAGTTTGATATTACTTTAAAAAATATGTTTCCTTAATAGTTTTAAAAACTTTACTTTTAGAGTTAAATTTCGTGAGCTAAATAGTTTTGCTACAGCGCTAAATAACAATCATTTATCACCTTCAACCATAAAACTTATTAACTTAATTTCCTCAGTTTTGCACCTTGTCCAATTGCCCAATTTCGACAAAAAATTATTTCTGCTCAAATTAGAGTGATAAGTGAATCATTTGTGATGCATGCAGCATTTTTTTCATCATGCACATGCAATCACTTGCTTACATACATTTAATTTTCAGTTCATAAGAATATTTTACTAATTTTTATTATATGTTTTAGTGTTACTAGTAATTATGGCGTTGTTAGTGTTAACACCTTACTTCTACTTTATACCAACTGCTTCACTGTCTGCAGTTGTCATTTCTGCTGTGATATTTATGATTGAGATAGACATAATATGTTCAACCTGGAAAAGTACAAGTGAGTTAGCCCCTTGACATATTATTATGTAAAGATATAATTAAATAAATATTTTATTACTTGTGTTCTTATATTACAGGGAGAGATCTCATTCCAATTTTAGCTACTTTCATTGTTTCTTTATTTTTCGGCATTGAAAAGGGATTGTTTTGTGGGATAGGAATTGATTTTGCTATCATCTTGTATTACACATCTAGGCCACATATATCATTTGATTCAACAGAGGTTTGTTATTTACGTTTATTCATTCATGATGTAAGTAAGAAACATTCCTTATTAGTACCGAATAACTACTTGAATTTGTTGGGTTCAACATCACTTCAGGTACACTGTAAATGGCATCCTAGAAGTAGTTGAGTAATGATAATCATGTTCATATACAAATTACAGTAGTATAAGAAATAAAACACAATTTTGTTCATTTATTTTGTTATCTAATTTTATTATGTTTATCTCCTTCCTTATATTTATTTCATTAGTCGCTAACTTTGTTGCCATTATTATTTATTTCATAAGTTCCTCTCTGTTACTATTATTATTTTTTTCATAAGTTTCTAACTTTGTTACCATTATGTCCTCCTACCTTTGCTTCCGCTAATTTCTATTCCTAGCTTTGCTATCATTATTTTTTATTTTTACTATTTTCCACTTATTTTAATAAAATT